CCCTCCCATTTTCCCGGCATCCCCATGAACCGGGGGCCCAGGAGGAGCATGGGGACACCCGTGGTGCCCCTGACTCTGTCCTGTCTCCATGGGACAGCTACATCCCCAGGGACAACAGCCTGCAGTCGGAGACGGTGCACTACAAGCGGGGGGTGTGCCAGCAGTTCTGCGTGCCCTCCCATACCGTCGACCCCTCCGAGTGGAGCGAGGAGGAGGTGGGTCCCACTGGACCGTGGCATCAACCGTCGGGTCGGGTACTGTTATGGATGCGGGATGAAGCCTCCATTGCTGCTCCATCTCACCAAGCCTCTCCTCCTGTCTCTCTCCAGCTGGGCTTCGACCTGGACCGGGAGGTGTACCCCATGGTGGTGCACGCGGTGGTGGATGAAGGAGAGGGTGAGGAGGGCGTTCCTTGCTGGGTTGGGCTTGCCCAGTTGCTGGCACCGCGGTGCCAGCCCTTGCACCAACCAGGCAGAATCTCCTGCTTCTCCTTGCTGCTGCCATGGGCCTGCCCATCCCCTGAGCCCTGCCCATCCCTTTGTGTCTTGCAGAGCACAGCGGGCACTGCCATGTGCTGCTGGCCACCTTTGAGAAGGTAAGTGCCAAGCTGGGGCTGTCCTCCGCCTCCTGTCCCCTTTCCCACCGGGTGTGAGAGCCTGGAGAAACCCCATGGGGCTTGCGATGGTGCTGCTGGGCTGGGGATATTTTGGGACTGCTTCTGAAATTCTGGGAGTATCCCCCAAATCCTTGATTTTAAGCACCCACTTTTGAGGCTTTTGGTCTCAGCTCCGTCTTCCTTGCTCCAACAAGTCTCCAGCCTTGCGATGTGTGTGACATCCCACACCTGCCTGGTACCGGGGTGTCAGGGGAAAAAACAGAATTGCTGCAAAATGGGCTGGCTGGGAGTGAGGTGGGAGTGGTGACAGCTACAGGGCGGGTGGGTACTTGAGCATGGCAGTCCCTGGGGTGCTCAGCCCTGGTGCCCACCTGCGTGCTCTCCTCCCTCCAGCACAGTGACGGCACCTTCTGTGTGAAGCCTCTCAAGCAGAAGCAAGTGGTGAGTGTCCGGGTGTCCCCGTGGGCGGTGGCAGCTACCGCTCTGCAGACCCCTGGGGTGGAAGGTGGCGAGGGGCTTCAGGGAGCAGCAAACCCCTGTGTGGGCAGCAGCTTGCCCCTGCCCTGCTCCTGCCTCCCAGGGAGCTTGGGGACCACTGGCAATTTCAAGTGCATCGAACCCCGCGGGGTTGCAGGTGGATGGTGTGAGCTACCTCCTGCAGGAGATCTACGGCATCGAGAACAAGTACAACACGCAGGACTCCAAGGTATGTTCCTCCATCCTGCAGCCTCCATCCCCCAGGCTGCATCCCATGGGTCTTCCATAGTCCCCTCTCCCATTCCCCTAGCACAGGTCCAGCAGCTAAAACACACATGGGGCAAGAGTTTGCAGCACAACATGGAACTGCCCGGGGCGGTACAGGTGTTTTGTGTTGGCATCGACACTGTAGGAAACAGAAAGCTGAAGGATTGAGCCTTTTTCCCCCATCCTTTGTGGTCCCTTGGGAGTGTGGTGGCTGGATCTTGTTGACTTAGGAGGGCACCATGGGGCTCAAAGTGTGGGACATGCCTCCCCCTCTGCTATATATATATATATTTGTGTGTGTGTAGAAGTTGGGGTGAAGGACACGTCCCTCTGTGGGGTGCCTGATGGCTCCAACCCTACCTCCCAGCCTCCAGGAGGGGAGGGGATAAGATCCCAGAGTTGTATTTCAAGAGCAGGCAGCCCAGGGACACAGGCAAGACCCCGCAGCAAGTTCTTGGGGCACCCAGCTGGTATTTTAGGGCACCGATCCTTGTGCCGTGCGGGCTGGGGACCCCAAGGCTGAGCGGCTCCCATCTCTCCTGCGGGGCAGGTGGCCGAGGACGAGGTGAGTGATAACAGTGCCGAGTGCGTCGTCTGCCTCTCGGATGTCCGCGACATCCGCCCCTGCCGCCACCTCTGCCTCTGCAACACCTGCGCCGACACCCTGCGCTACCAGGCCAACAACTGCCCCATCTGCAGGCTGCGTAAGGGTGGCGGGCTGGTGTCTCTGGGGGGGGATGGCATCTCAGAGGGGAGGGCTGGCATCCCTGGGGGGGGAGTGGCATCTCCCATCCTTGGGTTTTGGGGTCCCTCCAGCCCCACATGCAGTGATACCATGCAGGGATGCCCTTCCTCGGAAATGGGGTGGCATTTTTGGGGAGGTCTCCTTTTGGCACCTGTTTTTCACCCTACCCTTCATTCCTGTTGCTGCAGCTTTCCGAGCCTTGCTTCAAATACGAGCCATGAGGAAAAAGTTGGGTCCCCTCTCACCCACCAGCTTCAACCCCATCATCGCCTCGCAGACCTCTGACTCCGAGGAGCACTCGGTCAGTGCCCAGAAGAGCCTGGCCCACCCGGTGCTGGGGCCAGGGAGGTTTGGGGATGCACGTGCTTCCTGGGGCCAGGGTTTATTTATTTAATGCAAATTGATCTTGCAAAAAATGCAAGGTTGATATTGCAAAAAAAGGGCTTTCAGTTGGGTGGAAAGACCACAGATTTGGGGCTTTCATTTCTGTGCAGGGAGTTTGTCTCTTCTCTGGGTTTTGGCTTCTCCCCAGGTCATCTCGATCCCACTGGAAGAAGGGGCAGGGGAGGGCAGCAAAACAGCCCAGGGAGGACCTTCACCCCATCTCCCCTCTCTCCCCAGTCCTCGGAGAACATCCCTCCGGGTTACGAGGTGGTGTCGCTGCTGGAGGCCCTCAATG